TTGAAAATGAAAATTTCAGTGTGAGAGCTGCTGCCAGAGCTGAAGTGTTAATCTTTATTCCTGATTTTAAATAAACAGTTTTAACAGCTGCTTAAACATATCTTTTTGGTTTATTTGTTTGATCTTAATGTCTTATTTGTTAATTACCATTGTATAATTATTTTTAAACAGCCCATTTACTATAAAAACTGGTGATCAGTAATTACCCCAGAAATGATCAAGAATTACCCCGGAAATGATCAAGAGAAGGGGCAATTCCTGATCACTAAAAATTTAAGATCTTTTAAATTCTAATTAGATTTTCAAACAAAAGAAGGTAGAATAGGACTCATCTCATATAGCTTCAAACTTCCAGTAAATATTAAAATTCTACCTTGAATAGTTTTTTCACAAAATAGATGTTTGCATTTTTTGATCAATAATAACCCCAGGTCACCCTAAATGGTGACTGGTGCACGTTAAATCTGTCGGGTTTCCAAGTTCCCACAACAAATCGATGCCTCAGGGGGTACTAAATTGGAAATTGATTATTCTCTGGTTCAGTTCAAAATTGCGATCTGTGGATGAATAAAGGGTCCTTCCTGTAAAAGAGGCTGTGACATGTGTGTGGCTAAAGTCATCTTGGCCATAAATAACGCCACTAAAATAACAAGAAAAGCAGCTCTAAACCACGCTGTGTCGTGTTGTTGTATTCTTGGCCATAGATGGTGCCACTGAAAAAGCAAAAGCTTTCTAGCATTGGCAGTGCCATTAGGAGCAACAAAAAAATGTTAATAATTTTCTTTGTAGAATTTTTAATACAACTGCATCTAAAAATATAAATATAAAATCGGTCTTTTGTTTTGTTCATAATTGGTATTATTTCAAATGTTGTTCATTGCCAGTATGAATACTGAAGAAAGCAAAACAAACACAATTTCACCTTTATGTGTGACAACTGACCAAATTATCTTCCTTTCAAAAGAAAAATTCTGTTTAGAAAAATCTGTCACACAGTTTAAAAGAATGTGTCTATAATGCCTCTTTATATCCCTCTAGACAATTCCTATTGGATTATGGGTTGTTGTCATAGGTCATTAAGGCAAGCAGTGCGACTGTTCTTGTTTTCCAGTGGTGCCATTTATGGCCATGAATTCGATTTCTGCAACAACCATATGCCATACTTGTTTATAGGGCAGACACATTCATGCATGCATTCATTGATCCTCAGGTTGTAAGTTTGACCTGAACCAGAGAAAGATCAATCTCCTATTCAGTACTCCAGTTGCTATAATTTGGTAGGGAAACATCTAGGACTTAGTAACCCGACAAATTTGACATGCGGCAGTCACCATTTTCGACGCAGGGAGACTTCGGCTTGCGGGATTTGAACTCCCGTTCGCACATGATGGATGGGAAAGAAAATTAATCGTCGATTTAATAATCGATTTAAAGAAACTCATCAAAGATAAAAACAAGAGAGATATTGAAGTAATTAATCTTTTTGTAGACTTAAGACTTTTTTTTTTTATATGTGAAATTTACGAAGCTATGGCAATTGTACTATATATTTTAATTTAGTGCCCTCCAAAAGTTGGTCTCTGATATCTGCATGTATAATCAACCAGCCAGTCAATGTTTAGTAGGAATTAATGATTATTTGAGCCAATTAATGATTATCTCTCTGTCTGATCTGTTGGCAAAAGCAATCTTTTGTATTCTCTGGATAAGTATATTTCAAAACAAAGTAGCTGTTCAAAATAGGAAGAAAAGATGTAAATGTGTCTGTTTCAATCTTTTGTTATTTTTTTTTATTTCTGTTTTAGTTGGAAATCGTTTTGAAAATTGTTGTTATAATGGACTCTTATTGTATATTTATTTATTTAATTTTTTTTTTAGGTATAAATGAAAGTTTTACATTATCTTTAATTTGTAGCAGTATAAAATGGAGAAACCACCACTTAGTAGCAATATTTCACCTCCTGAGGAAGTGAAAAGCATATTGATTAGCAATAACAATGAAAACCCAGGGTGTTCTTCTTCAACTGATGGAAATGATGCAGCTCCAAGTGCACCTGAACTCAACAAAGCTAAAACCCCTCCAACATCAGATGCCAATCCTTCACCTTCTTCTAGCAGGAGATCACCCGATCCTTGTTGTGCCATTTGCCTTGAACAGTTACAAAATAAGTCTTATACAAATGGTTGTTTGCATATGTTTTGCTTTAAGTGCCTTGTGGATTGGTCTAAAATTAAGCCTGTGTGCCCTTTGTGTAAGCAAGAGTTTAAAAGTATTATACACAACGTTCAAGAAGATTGCAAATATGATACTTATTATTTAAATAGTCATCAAATTTCAGCTGATAATATTTGGAATTTAACTCAGACTCATAATGGCATCTCTAACTCTATTAGAATTAATACATCATCAAATATACCCAGATTTCGCTACCGAACTACTGTAACTGCAGGTAGATTTGTCGATAGGAGCAGCAGCAATGTATCACGTCAAGATACAATGCAAATACAGATTGAAAACCACAGAAGAAGATTTGCTCCACATTCAGTGAGGCTTATCTCCACTACACAGGCAGCAAATCGCATTCCATCCCGTTTTAGGGCAAGAATCTATCATCGAAATTTGTGGGTTAAGCCTCTACAATCTAACCGCTTCAGAATAGTTTCCCCAGATTTTTTCAAGCGCAATCCTGCCTGCACACACCGCTTGCTTCCTTGGCTGAATCGAGAACTGATTGTGTTGTTGCATAATGTTGAATCACGAATAGTTGAGGTTCTTGAACTTATCATGGCCTTAATCACACGGTATGACATTAACAGTCCAGAGTTTTATTCATACATTGAACCATACTTTCAGGAAAGGACCTCTCATTTTATTCACGAATTTTACAATTTTGCATCCTCACCTTATAGTATGGATGAGTACGATAATAATGCTACTTATGATCGTCAAGAGCCTAAGTCTAGTAATGAAGCTGTTGAGGTAGATGATACAAATAATGAAGTTATGATCATTGATAATGATGAACCATCTCATGTGACATCGGAAACAAATGTTGAACGCTTAAAAAGTGTATGCAAAAAGAAGAAATCTAAGAATTCTGCAAGTAAAAAGAATACTGTTGAGAAAGTTGTTTTAAAAAGGAACCGAGAAACAGACTCTTGGGTTACAGTTATGGGTCCATTGCCTCTCATGCATGATTACAGTATGACCAATTTGAATAATTATTACTCGAATCCTGGACCAAGTAATATGCCTGGCATTGCAACGAATAGTTTAGACACAGATGGAAGGCCTCTAATCAGTCCTGTTCATATTGAAATTGAATCTTCTGATGATGAGGTTGAAGTTCTTGATGTACTGAAGCCAAAAGCAGAAAGGACACCAGAAATTGTTGACCTGTCCAGTGATGATGAAATATCTGGGATAACTAATGTTACATCTAGTGAAAACCCTTTCAAAAACAATCCAATCTTAAGTAGTAATTTTAACACCATCAGTCCAACTTTAAGCATTCGATCTTATAGCCCTGTTAGCCCATCTTATAGCCCTGTTAGTCCAACTTATAGCCCTGTTAGTCCAACTTATAGCCCTGTTAGTCCAACATATAACCCTGTTAGTCCAACTTATAGCCCTGGCAGTCCAAGAACTGATGTTACATCTAGTGAAAACCCTGTGAACAACAATCCTATCTTAAGTAGTAATATTAGCCCCATCAGTCCAACTTTAAATAATCAATCTTATATCCCTATTAGTCCAACCTATAGCCCTGTTAGTCCAACTTATATCCCTGTTAGTAGTCCAATTTATAGCCCTGTTAGTCCAACTTATGGCATTTCAAGTTCTTCTCTAGATATTTTTGAAGAAAATTCTAATTCTCACAATTCAGTTCGTAATCAGGATGGCCTGACTAGTGACCAGATTAATAGAAATTTGCTGACTGAGTTGTCAGATACTGATGATGATTGTATATTTGAGTCATCTGAAAAAAACCCTTCCACAGTATCAACTGACAAAGCTTCTAAAATTGATATTAAATCTGATGAAAATAATAATGCTAATAACAACCCTGTTACCTTTAACAGTACTGTTGTAAATAATCACAATATTCCTGAAGCAGATACATATGCTCAGAGTCCAATGTTTAGTTTTTCATATAGGCCTCCCAGCCCATTTGAGTGTCTAACTTCTGTTCAAAGTTCTAATATAGTAAGGTTTGAAAATTCCAATTCACACAGTCCAACTGATGCCCATGATAACCCAAATAATTCTTCTAATAAAGTAATTTTATTGGAGGAGGTAGATTCTGAGGATGATTGTATCTACGAGTCAACTCATAAAATCATTTCCAACATATCAAGTGACGCTAAAGCTCCCAATTTTGTAGATTTTAAATCTAATAAAAATAATGGCAATGACAGCCCTACTATCCTTAACAGTCCTGCAGTAAATAGATATAGCCCTCTTAGTCCAGTGCTCTATGCTCCCTTTCGTTCAACATCTCGATTTTCTAGCAATGCAGATAGTGACATTGAATGCATCTTTGACTCCGGTCAGAAAACGGAAAATGATCAAAAAATTAATGAACCTAGGAGTAATTCAAATAAAATTTCACCCTTAGATTTATCTAGGCTACCAGGTTCTTCTCAGGAATCTAATTCCAGTAATCATCTAAGCTGGGTTTATAAGAATAAAAATAACTTAATTGATTCAACTTGTTCATCATCATTAACTAAGCACCATCAAGCAGCTAAATCCTCTTCGGGAAGAGACTCGCCTATTAATTTAGTAAAGAAAATATCTTCACTTAAACGTAACACTAAATCAACGTTGCAAGCTGCTGAAAAAAGTTCATCTGCTGGAAAAAAATCGACTTCTAAGAAATATCGCACCGGATCTTTAAAGAGTTCACCGACATCGATAATGTCCTCTAATAACAATACAGTATCTTCTGTCAATGAACCTGTCAGTTCATCAAAACCTGATGAACCTATCGGTTCGTTAAAGCGCAATAAGACTTATGTTCCTTCAAAAATAGTTATCCCTAGTTCTAGTAGTCTTAATGTAGACAGTGTTTCTAATTCTCATAAAGAAGACTTGTTTGAAAATATAAATAATGCATCAACTGAAAGTTGCTCAGAAACTGAAATAATGCCACCTAAAAAAAGAAAACTACGCAGTGTTGTTGCATCTCTCATAACAGATCATAATGTTGGTGATACACAAAATTCTCATAAATCACATAAAAGTCATAAAGTGAAGAAGAAAAAGAAACACACTAGGAGAATTAAGCGTCCTGTTTCTGACTCAGACAGTGACTTTTTCTAACTATAGCATATATTTATTGTATATAAATCAAATTAACGTTAAAAAAATGTTTAAATCATGAATTCGTACAAATTTAAGCTACTTCTTAATGTATATAGATTTTTGTTATGATGAACATCTACTATTTATTTTGTTTATCAGCCATTTATTTTCATGTTCTATTTTTATAGTTACCCTTTCTTTTTTTTTATATATATATTTTTCTTAATCATTTTATAAAGCTTTTCCATAGTTCTCTTAAAATGTAAAAACATATATTTTTATTTATTGAAGATAAGCTTCAGATTTATTCTATAATTATATTATTTGTCTCCTAGTCCTTCAATAAATTTAATTTTAAGAATTCAATATTGAAGAACAAATTGAAAGGATCCCTAAAATCATTTTTTTAAGCAAAGAAATATGTTGTATTAGAAATTAATCATATACAGTACAGAACCCGTTATCCGGAAATGAGAAAACCGGAAAACCGGAACGAAATTCGATAAATTTTCCCGCCATTTTTTAAACAAAATTTTTTTTTCCTCATAAGATTTTAGGATTTTTCTTTCTTTTTTGAAAGATGTTTACCTTACCATCATTTTGGAAATAATCATTAGTGTATTACTTCATAGTTTTTTCTTTTTAAGATTATTTCCAAATATTTTTTTTTAGTTCGGTTTAACAATAAAAAAAATTGCTTTTTGTAGCAATTCAAAAAACCGGAAAAATCAGTTATCCGGAATAGCGATGGTCCCGATCGTTCCGGATAATCGGTTCCCTACTGTATTAAGTATAAGAATGGAAGCTAGAAATTGCCTTTCGAATTTTGTATAAATTTTTTTTTATACATTAATTTGTTACCTATAAAGTGTTATTGGAGAGAATTTCGTATTGGTAGCTATTTTTTAACTAACTGCAATTGCCAAGGCGCCAAAGGGAATTAAAAATGAAAGATGTAGATGTTTACAAGGGAGTGATTTCGAGCAATATTATCAGTGTTCCCCTTCTGGGATTTTTGTTGTTGTTTCCCTATAGGCTGCTGCTCGGAAGTTGGCAATTATTTTGGCTCAGGTACCAATACGGAAATCTTTCTGTGTTATTTTATTGTACAGCAAAAAGCTTAAGACTGTTTTTCGTAGACTGTTATATGAAATAACACTGTTTAGTGAAGAATATGCCATTTTGCATACCTGCATATTTAGTCATTGTTTTCTATGCTAAGATGCTATGTAAAAATTTCAAGAATCAATTATTATCAAATTAAGGATCTAAGGAAAGTCTTCTCAAATTGGGGATTTCATAAAAAGTTTTTCATTTTTTGGGCTCAGTCTGCTTTCAAGTTCAAAAAATAAGTTCTTCTCACCTGTAATTTAAAATTATGTTTCAAGTTTAAAGCACTCAAGCTATTGCTTTTCATTTTCCTTGGTTGTAAAGCTTTGAAGAATATCCTTAAAATTCAGTAAAAACCTTACTTTATTTTCCTTTTTATGCCGGACATGTTGACATTTTAAATACTAAATTTACTAACTATGCAAAGTTAGAGTACAGATAGCAATCAACACAAAATGAAGAACAATGAAAAATTTATGATATAAATGTTGAAACTAAACCTGGTCTCTTGTCTATTTTTTGTTTGTTTATTATTTATTAAAAAGCTTATTGTTTTTTTTTATTTATTATTTTAGTAAATAGCTTAACTATTTCCCCTTTTAAGCAGGGCATGTTAACACTTTTTAAATACTAAATTAAGGATCTAAGGAAAGTCTTCTCGAATTAAGGATTTCATAAAAAAGTTTTTCATTTTTTGGGCTCTGTCTGGTTTTAAGTTCAAACAATAAGTTCTTCTCACCTGTAATTTAAAATTAAAATTGTGTTTAAAGCACTCAAGCTATTGCTTTTCATTTTCCTTGGTTGAAAAGCTTTGAAGAATATTCATAAAATTCAGTAAAAACCTTACTTTATTTTCCTTTTTAAGCAGGAGATGTTGACATTTTAAGTACTAAGTTTACTAATTCTGCTAAGTTAAGAGTACAGAAAGCAATCAACATAGAATGAAGAACAGTGAAAAATTTATGATGTAAAATGTCGAAACTAAATCTGGTCTCTTGTCTACTTTTTGTTTGTTTATTATTTATTCAAAAGCTTATTATTATTTTTTTTTATTTTATTAAATAGCTTAACTATTTCCCCTTTTAAGCAGGGCATGTTAACGCATTTTAAATACTAAATTTACTATCTACATAATTCTGCTAAGTTAGAGCACAAAGCAATAAATGTAAAATAAAAAAAATATTGAAAATTTATGATGCAAATTGTAAAAACTAAATCTGGACTTATTATATTCTCTTGTATTTCAGAAAAATAATTATTATTACATTAAAATTTTTATTAAACATTAGGAGAAAAAATGCCTTTATAATAAAAGTTTTTTTTAAAATTATTTAAACTCATAATCTAATACAGCAATGCTGTTTTTGTGTAATTATTTATACAAAAGCTAGTGATGGATTATTTTTGAAAAACATTTATTCAGGTAGCCTGCTTATAAAGATAGTAATAAAAAATAATTTCTCATGCAATATAGTAACTGGTTTTTTTCTCCAGTGCAGATCTTTGCTTATCAGCATGTACCTTACTAATTGTTCATGCTTCTGTGAAAAATAAATATATGTAAATTTCAAAAAGTGATGTATAGTGCTTAGTTTACCATAAAAATAATTTAAAAAGAAAAGTAATCTATAAAATATATCTGAGAAAAAATGTATTATATATTCTGTTAACTAGTGCTTTGTAAATAAGAACTCTTCAGTAGTTATAAATTATGAATGATTTTACCTTCATTATTTTGTCTTATCATGTATTATAATTTCTTTTCAGCCATTTTTTTAAAAAAATAAGTTAAAATTATTTTCTTTTTTCTTTACATGCATGTTATAAAATATCATTTATGAGAAAAGAATAAAATTTAGAATGAATTTAATGTAAATTATATTTTCTAGAATAGTGTCCAAAACCCTTATCCACATTTTATGATTACACCGCAGAATTTCGAAATTTTTAAATAACTTTTTTGTACTGAAACATGATATTATATGAAGAATAGCAATACTTGGCTAAGACAATAAATATTGGCCTTGTAGTAGCCAGAACGAACTATCTATTTGTATGGTAGATACACAGAATATCTATTCTATCCATACAGATAGTAAAGTTTAATTGTATCCTCTTGCTACTTTAGAGAAAAACTGTCCAGCGCCTGAATCATTGTGCCTCCTATCTTTCAGCTGTATTTTTATTGTGTAGTTTTAAATGTGGAATTGTTGAAAATATATAGTGCTGCAGTTTTTCATGATAAAAATATTGTCTTAACTTTATTTTAAGTGTTTGTTTTCTACTGTAAGGATCATGTTTTGCCACTTGAAATCTTCGAAATTCTAGGACTTCAAACAACTGATTTTTTAATAATAAAATCTTATTCCATTCTCTTGAAGGATATGTTCCGTGGGTAAAATGCAAATTTTCGGCTGTTACCTTACAAAAATTTTTATATTTAAATGATTTTTAGTATTTTATATTGCTGCAAGAATTTCTGTTGTGTATCTGACTATTTCAATAATAATAATTCTGGGTCCCAAGGACCCAGAATTATTTAAAACTCAGCTTCAAGTTTTCAAGAAAAGTGCAGCCTTAAAAGTCAAATATTTTTAAAATAGAGCCTTAAAAGTCAAAATGTGCTTTAAATTGATTAAATGTTAACTACAAGAAGATCTTATTTATCAATAGTTAAGTGCAATTATAATAATACCCTTTAACATGTGCACTCAGGTTAATTTAAGTGGGGTCATGGTGTCAAATTTTATTTTTTCGCACAAGAACATATTCAAGAATTGAAAATATGCAAGCTCAGAAAAAAAAATTGTATTATTGATATTTATCATAACATCGAATTGTAAGCTATGATATTTGTTTATTCAGAGGTGATTGTGCTCCGGATTTTTCCTTTACTGCACTCCGGAAGTTTCAGGAAATCTTAGGTCCAGAAGCTTCAAAAAATCATCGATCACATTTATGTTAATTCTTTTATATTTTATTTAAAAATATTAGAACTAGAATTTATACTTGGCATCTTTCATACGTAAATAATTTTTTCTGGTAGAGTAATAAACGTGATTAGAGATAAAAGTAAACTTATACATAATTATTCATTTAAATTATGCTGTATATAATTTATAATTCAATGTTTTGAAAATATTAAATTTATAGACATTAATTATGCGTCTTTAAAGATTTTACTCAAGAAATTTTCCAGATTTTTGAGTTGGACTCACAATCACCCCTGTTTATTCAAAAATAAAATATGGCCTTAATCTAAATTCAAAATAAATAAATAAAAATTATGATTTTGTAATTTTTGCCAAAACTAGATTCTAAAATGTGTGTTATTTTAGAATATATATTTTAGAAGAGGGTAATTTAAGGGACCAGCCTTCAGGCTGGGATTTGAAAAAAGAGTAGCAAAACTTGACATTCTAACATCAAGTTTGAGTATATATATATGAAAAATGTTCAATATTTTTTTCCGTGTCTTTTGAGCCATTTAGTAACATATTTCAAACGAATAATAATAAAAGATAATGAATAATTTGGAGTAAATTTATATAAAGTTAGCTAAATTTTTTTAATGTAATATTTAAAATTTTCTTTACAACGTTACCCTCAGTGTTTTAAACCATACTAATTTGTATCCTAAAAGAAACCTTAATTTTTTTTCTTTTTAAATTATTGTGCTATGTAAATAAAGTGTTATAAATCTGACTTATTATTATATGTAAAAATCATCATTTAAAAATGATAATTATAAACAATTATTTCATTTGATAATTTTTGTAAATAATTTATATACACTCGCCTAGAATATAAAGTATTAAAAATAAACAATTTTATATTAATGTGCTGTTTTTTTTTTTAATAATATCTTCCATGTACCATTTGCATGTATTTTCTATTGAGTTATGAAAGTAGAATGAAAAATCAACCTTTTCAGAATAGCTATTTCATGTATTATCTCATACAGATGCCATATGTCATTTTGTGAGTTGAAGTTCCACGCCTGTTGCAATTGGGCAGTCAGTACAGGGATAGTTAATGCTGGTTGTGGATAACGCCAATGAAGTTGTCGTCCAACGATGTC